GCGCGCCAGGGCTTCCAGCGGCGAGCGGCTGCGGCGGCTCGGGCCGCGACGGCACACCGTGTGCAAAGCACGCCGGCGGCGGCGGCGCCCAGCATCGGGCCGAGGCAACGAGCAGAAGAAACGATGAGGAGGAGGAGGAGGAGGAGAAGGTTTTGTTTCACGCGACCACAGAGCCTGCGAGTGCCTCGCGACGACCTGCGTGCCAGGGCAACCTGGCTTGAAAAATCAGTCCGAAGATTCGGAGGAAGGGAGAACTTGGCGAAGCGGTTCCGAGCGGCGCCTGGTAGCCTGACGCCGTAGCGAAAGCTGCACCGCACGCAAGGTCTGGGCCTCGCTCAGTCCCCTGCACCACCCAGGCCTCCTGGGCTCCACCTTCGCGATGGCCGCCAGCTCCCGCGTCCTCCATGGGCCCCGCACTGCTGCTATCAGCGCCAGGGGAAGGCCCTGGCTCCGCCAGAATGCCGATCGCCTCGAAAAACAAGCTCCTCAGGCCGGGATAGCGCGACCACCTCTCCAGGCAACCGCGTGTTCTCATAAGGGTGCTTGCCATCCAACAACCTGTGTCTTCTGGTCTTGGCATTGTGATCCTTGGGGTCCTTTGGACACGCCGTGTGGAGACCACATGCGCGAGCGCTCAAAAAATGAGACACGATCCCGACGGAACGTGTAGCGGGCGATTCTGGGCAGCTGATGCCGACGCGGCCCCTGAAAAGGAGCCTGCTCGACGCGAGAAGGCTCCTTCCAGCGCCCATGAGAGGAGAATTCCACACGGCAAAACTTGTGCGAGAGCAGAGCGTCGGGCCTGTCGATGTGCGCTCGCTTGGCACACCTGCGGCACCGCCAAGACCCCTGGGCCCATTCCAGAGCATACCGAATCTCCAATAAATAAGGGAGGAGCGGAGCGCCGGTCGCCGAAGACGTCGGAGGCCGCATTGGCAGTCCGAGGGCGCGAGGACGCCGAACGACGCGAGGACGCGCGGGGGGGAGAGGGGAAGGAGGGGGATGCGAGGCGGGGATTTATCCATATCCACCGCCTGGGAACCGACGTCCTGGTGCCCCAGCGGGCGGTGGATATGGATATATTTCGGCCCCTGGGGGCCCGAATATGTCCATGTCCACCGCCTGCCGAGGATCCGAAAACTGACCCTCCAGGCGGTGGTCATGTAGAAATTCCCGCCTCGGAGGGGAGGATGAGGAGCAACGTTAGGGGAGGGACCAACCGAGGGGGTAAACATCGAGCTTTGATCGGCGGTGAATGTCCGATAGATCGTCGACAGGCCCCGGATGACGACACCGCACGTTCCTGGGCGGAGTGGGCTATCGGGCCCCTTACCTGCGATCAGTCGGCAACTGGGGGTCGATGCTTCCTCCCTTGAGCCTATCCCCTCCTAACGTTGCCCCTCAGAGGAGTAGGACTCCTATGGCGTCACACAGGCGACCTCCTGCCGTAGTTCGGCCTCTTACCCCTCCCCTCAGCAACGGCTGGGGGGAGGGCCAAAGAGGGCCCCCAGTGGTTCGCACGGACTGGTCCGCAGCCTTCGCCTGAGGAGGAGGAGGAGGAGGAGGAGGAGGAGGAGGAGGAGGAGAACGACGATGACGACGACGACGACGGCGACGGCGACGACAACAGCACAGCAGACGGTGGCATCAGGAACGGACGCAAGCAAGTGGGAGGACGAGGAGACGACGGTGGAGAAGAAACACGAAGAGAACATGATCCAGAGCAGCAGAACAACCAGCGTCACGCAAACGCCAGAGAAGGAGGAAGAGGAGGAGGAGGAGGAGGAGGAGAAGGAAGAGGGAGAAGAAGAATAAAAGGAAAAATAAGAAGAAGGGAGGGGAGATGAAAACGGAGAACGGAGGAGTCACAGCAGCACTTTGACTGCTGTCGCACACGATTACAGGAGCAGGAGGGCGACGACGACAACGACGACGACGACGACGACGAAGACGACAACGATGACGACGACGACGACGACGACGACGACGAGGACGAGGACGAGGACGAGGACGATGACGAGGAGGAAAATGTGGAGGAGGGAGAAAGGAGGAGGAGGAGGATGAGGAGGAGGAGGAGAAGAAAGAGGGGGGAGAGGAGGAGGAGGAGGAGGAGGAGGAGGAGGAGGAGGAGGAGGAGGAGAAGGACGAGAAGGGCCAGGGAGGCGGAGGAGAAGGAGGAGGAGGACGGACAGGAGCAGGAGGAGGAGGGCGAAGAGAGGACAAGAAGAGGGCAAAAACCGAAGAGGAGAGCGAAGGAGGAGGACGGCAAAGAAAGGAGGAGCCAGGACGCCCGCGATGGCCAGGGGGGGGGGCGGAGGCGCAGGGTTGCTCGCGTGCGCGCGCAGGCCGGTCCGCATCGGACTGCTCGCCGTCGGCGAAGCTGACTCCTGGGAGGAGGGAAGCAACGTCACGGACGAGATCTTGAGGCTCGGAGTACAAAACGTTCAAACATGCTCGTCGGTTTTCGGGAGGGGTCCACCCTGGGGATGCCCTCCACCAGCTGCGCCTCGTCGAAAAGCGTTCGGGGGCGCCAGGGTCGTCCCGAACGGCCGCCGGAGACCAGCCCTCTTCCCGCCGCGGGGCGGACTCGCCTCAAACTCTGCCTCCCCGTCGGCCAGCTTGGCTCACACTCTGGCTCCTGCTCGGCAAAGGGAGGGGGGGGCTGCTAGCGCGCTCGACCTGGTCCTACTATGCCACCGAGCCGCCCGACAGCCGCTCAACCGAAGCCCTTCCACCCCATCGCCAATCAAAAGAACAATTCAGAATTGGCGTTTCCCTTTCGACGTGGACGTTTGTCGGCGACGATGCAAGCTGCCCATACGCCTATCCATATTCCCGATGAACATCTACTCCCACTCTGCCACCTAGCTGGCCTGGAGCCAGCCAATCTAAGTTTTTTCATCGCACCCGTCAAAGATTAGCCTGACGAAGGACCCAACCACATGCAGCTCCAAGCACCGCGAGGGCGATGAGACGAAAGAGGGGGGCGCGCAAACTCCGACTAGCTCTCGCAGGCAGCGCGCCGCAGCAATGACGAAGCGCGGGGCAGCGCGGGCAGGGGCGGAGGAAAGGGGGAGGCAGCGGAGCGGGATGATGGTCTCTCGGATGTTTCCCCGTCTGCGCGCTCGCGCCTTGGCGACCTCTGCAAAGGTTTAGATGCCCCAGCCGTCGCACAGGGAGGTCCATCCGAGGATATCGCCCCCACCCCGCCCAGAGCGATATCTTAGCACCACGCGCGCACAAAAAAGAATAATACCAACGCCCCGCCCCCCTCGAATAATACTACGTAAAAGGATAACAACATGTAAAATAATCCTAAAAGACCACGGATAATAAAAATGTGAATAAGAATCCGACTGGCACACTACTGGGTCCGATTGTGTTGGCACGCTATTGGAACCCTGTTGAGATCCACTTGGATCCCACTGGCCCATTGGAATCCTGTTGCATTGGAATCCTATTGGAATGGTATTGCATTCTTAGTTGAATTCTACGCATTGGGATCCTATGGTATTGGAATCCGATTGGCATTATAGATTGGGACCGTTTTGGAATCCCCATGTATTGGAATCCTATTGGAATATCATTGGGATCTTATTGGAATCCTGTATTGGAACTATTTTGGAATCATGTTATATTGGAATACAATTTGGATATCATTGGGATCCTGTCGGAATCCTATTGTATTAAACTCATATTGGGATCCTACTTAAATCCGATTGAAATCAGATTATGTTGGAGTCCAACTGGAATCCTATAGGAATCCTGGTGTGTGGGACTCCTATTGGAATTCTATTGTGTTGGTCGGAATCCGGAAGGTAACCTGGTCGAAACCTATGGGAAAACTGTTGAAGTCGAATTGGGATCCTATTGTATTGCATTGGAGCCCTATTGGAATCCTATTGGGATCCTGGTAATCTGATTGGAATTACATTGGACTCCGCATGAAATCCGATTGGGATACTATTGGAATCCTATTGAAATCCCACTGTATTGCATTGTATTGGAATCCAAGTTGGATCCAGCTAGAAACCTATTGGAATCCGATTGGAATCCTACTGTATTGTATTATTTGGGGGTCCTATTGGAATCCGATTTGCATAGGATTCCAGTACAGCGGGAATTCCATCAGGATTCCAATAAGATACCAATCGGATTCCAATACAGTATGACTCCAATAGGATTCCAACCGGATCCGAATACAATCGGATCTCCAATAGGACTCCACGCCGACGCTGACGCTGACGACGACAACGACGAATGGGGTCTTATTGCCATCACATGAGGAGCCGATTTGGACCCCATTGGAATCCAGGGGGCGCCTCCTGGTGCCCAGGAAACGCTTACAGGGTGCCGGAAGCGTTATCGTTTCACAGGAAGGGAGGGTCTTAAATACTTCCTGCGGTTACCCTGATCCTGCGTATGTATGAGCATCGATTCCCACTCTACCACGTAGCTGGCCTAGAGCTAGCCAGTCCAGGCCCCTCCATCGCGCCCGTCAAAAAAACAGCACAGAGTCAAAGCTCTTCCTCTCAAGATGGACGTTCTGTCATCGACGCCGCACAGTGCGCGGCGGGAAGAGGACGCGGCGCACATCGCGCGCAGAAGGGCAAACCAATGCCCTCGCCATAGCGCCACGCCCACTTCTCCTAAGGACTGAGCTCCCGCTTCGGCCCGGCGCGCAGCCTTCGCTTGCCAACTCGGCGGCAGCGGGGTCGCGCGCGCGGTGGGGGCGGGCGAAGTGTCGCCCTCGCCCAAGCCCTGTGCAGATTTCGCGTGCAGGAGCGTGCCCGCTCTGGCGCGGCGCGCGTCTTTCGCTCGCCGACCTCGCGGGAGAAGCTGCGGCGGCAGAGGAGCGGCGCGAGCGCGGACGAAATATGTCGCTCTCTCGCCCGAGCGCCGCGCCACAACTCGCGCGAGCGTGAGGCGTGGTGCTGCTTCGGCGCGGCGCAGTCTTCGTCTCCTCCTCCTCCTCCTCCTCCTCCTCCTCCTCCTCCTCCTCCTCCTCCTCCTCCTCCTCCTCCTCCTCCTCCGTGCCCCTCGGAAGCGATGCCGCGCAGAAGAGAGAGGAGTCTGCACGGGGCCCTCGCCGCAGCGTCGAGCGGGGAGCTTCTGGAGGCTCCGCTCGTGCCCGCGCGCGGCTCGGGCGTTGCCCCCCTCCGCCAGGTCGTCGGGGCAGGTGGCCGCGCGCGAGCGCCCTCCGCTCGCGAGGCGGGGACGCACGACGGTCCCGGCACGTCGCCGCGCCGTTTTCTCTCGGCGCGCCCAAGTGGGCGACGCCGACACCACGGCAGACTCACGGCCAGCCCTGCGCCCCGCGGCCGCCACGCGGCGAACCCCACGGCGAGCCCATCGCGCCCGAGGTGGCATTGGCCCCAGTGCCCGCGGCGCCCTCCCCCTCGACGCAAGGCCGCGCGTCGGAACAAACGGCGCGGCGACAGATCAGGTTGCACCGCAGATTGCTCGTATGTTATGGGAGGGAGGGTGGGGTGGAGTGGCAGGGGCCCGCTAACTCGTTCGAGCACACCAGCTTGGCTCCTGCTCCTACGCCTTCTCGCCTTCCTGAGGAATAAACCGACCCCCCGAAAAAACACAACTCCCAAAGAGTGCAAAGTCCCACCCTCTCGTTATCGCCCAAAGTAGTGCCCTATCTGGGTGGCCACGCCCTACCAATCACAAAGCAGAGACTAGGCGCTTCCTTTCAACATGGACGCATGGCCATCCAAATTTGAATGTGTGACATGAATGGAAATTTAGCGCGCATGGCGCGAAAGGGCGACATGCTGCGTACTATCAATCCCAATGCCGCGCTCACTTCTCCCGAGAATGGAGCTCTCGCTCTCAGGCATGGCGTACACCTCTTGTTCGCAAAAAACTGTCGGAACCAGGGCCCGCGCGCAGGCGAACGAAGCGTTCCTCTCGCCCAAAGCGCAAGCGACGCAAGATTGCCGTCTGAAAGGTGGCGGTCCCGTGTGGGCGCGGCGCACTGTTTGCCCTCGCCAGTCCTATCGGAAGCCCAGCTGCACGCGAGGGCGCTGAATGGTACTCTCACCGAAACGTTGCGCAAGGGTGCCCGCTCCCACCCTTTTTGCACACGGCCAATGGTTGTCCTTCGCCGAGTCGTCGGAAGCGGTGCCCCGCGCGAGCGTCTTCCGCTTGCTGGATGAGGGCACATGCCAATATCAATATCCACAGTTGCTCGCAACGAGGAGGGAGGGTGGCAGTGGAGGACCCACTGACTCGATCGAGCGGGATAGCTTGAATGTACTCCCTGTTCTTGGTTCTTCTCGTTTTCGTACTCTGGCTCCGACTCCGACTCAAATTCAGCACTCTCCTTCTACCCCTGCTCAAGTTGAGCTACACACACACACACACACACACACACACACACACACACACACACACACACACGCACGCACGCACGCACGCACGCGCGCGCGCGATGCCGCAAACATGAACTCTTACAGAAGGTGAACGAAACATGCTTGGGGGTCCACGCGCAGGTAACAAATACGCTTTGCTATCATCCCTGTCGTCGTGATCAGCATCAGCAACATCCTCCCCACCGATGCGATCATTTCTGCAACCTTCCTCAGAGGATCCTCGAGAAATCTTGCCGCCGCGTCCAGAACTTTCCTGTGGGTGGGTCGGCTGTTAGCGCAGCCCATCGCGCGCAATGCACCAAGTGCACTGGATGATGCAAGTGCAGCGGAGCATGGGGAAGAGTTGGCAGAGGTACCTCTACCTCACAAGTTTTACGCTGGGCCACGTTGATGAGGAAGGACAAGGGGGAAGAATAAGAATCGCACTCCCGTTGAAAGTGAACGATGACGTCCATGTCAGGTTCCTCCATGTCAGGTCCTCCATGTCAGGTTCCTCTCTAACTTCCCTCCGTCCCTCTCTCCAATCTCCGTGCCCGTCTCTTCTCTCAGCCCTCAGTTCCTCCCTCCATGTTCCGTCGTTTCCTCTCCAGCCCGTTTCCTTCCTCTCCATCCTTCCCCCCCTCCCACATCATCGTACATCCCACCCGAGCTTGCTCACTCGCCCCACTGCTCATCATACAATAGGAGCCCAACCACAAGAAAACTTCCACAAGAAACCCAGCCCTGACACCCCAAGACGTCCACTGATTTTTGGTGTGGGAACGTCACGCTTCCCTTAGCAAAACCATCGAAACCAAAGAAACCCAGGGCACCCTGGAGGCGAGCAGGGTGGTTCTTGGCATGGGTTTCCTCTGCATTCCTGCACATCATGAACGGGACGACTGATACGGGCCACAGCCCCGATCCCAACTTCATGGCAACTACCGCCACATGAGCAAAGCGATTGCAGGTTTGAAAACACAAACTTCCCATGCAGAGCAAGAGCGGCCTTGCTGCCAGTTGGGATTCCCTCTATGTCGAACACGCTTTCACGCGCACGGAACATGACCTTCTTCGGCGACGAATCCGCGGACGCCTTTTCATCAACGTCCGCGTCGTCCTCTTCGTCTTCCGAGTCCTGCGGGGCGGACACAAATGACGGAAAGTACTGATGAAAGAATCGCACACGTAGCAAGTCAGTAAGAATGAAGCAAACAAGATCGGGCGCAACTTGAGCACTTGCGACACCGTTCCCAAACACACGCGCACGCGCCAACAGGGAAACACACGCACACACACACACACACACACACATACACACAGCATTAACAACAACAAGGAACAACCGCGCGTGAATACCCCATGGTCCAGGACCTCGTTCCCCACGTTCTTCCCTAAGGTGGAACCGCGCGTCTGTGCCCCATTGGCCGGTTCGGACCCCCCCCCCAGCAACCAGCAACCAACAACCTGGGGCTCCGTTCCCTGCTCCGCTGGCCAATTTGCTCGTTTAAGGGTGTGGACTCATCCTCCATGCCATTGTGCCGTGTCTGCACCAGCGAAGCTCCGGAATGTACGGAGTCCTATCGGATCCTTAGGGGTGGATCCAGCTCTAATAGAATCCCAGTCCTGGTGGATCCAGCTCTAATAAAATCCTACTACTGGTGGATCCAGCTCTACTACTATCCTATTAGTGGGTGGATCCAGCTCTACTACTATCCTATTAGTGGTGGATCCACCTCTACTACAATCCTACTAATGGTGGATCCACCTCTACTACAATCCTATCAATGGTGGATCCACCTCTACTACAATCCTAGTGGTCCTCCCCGCTCTAACAGAACCGTATGGAATCATGTTCGGAGTGGATCCAGCTCTAATAGAAACCTGTTAGTGGTGGGTCCAGCTCTCATGGAGTCCTGTTAGGGGTGGACCCAGCTCGAATAAAATCAGAATAGATATGGATCCAGCTCTACTAGTACCCAGTTAGCGATGGATCCACCTCTAATAAAATCCGATGGGTGATGGATCCACCGATCTGGAGGTCCACACCAGCACCAGGAGAAGGCCCAGAAGGGGGACCTATCCGCCCTAACCACAGATTGGTCCTTTTTCAAAATCAGATTCTCACCGAATCTCGCCGTGCTTCGGCCGTCTTCAAGCTGTCTGCAGCCGTTGGGCTGTGGGTTGTCTACGAGCCGTCGTCGTCGAGAGGGGTGTGACGAAATGCGGTTTCGGTGGAGCTCCCTGCGAGACCCAGGGCCGCAATCCTCGAGAGGGGTGTGCCGAAATGAAGCTTCGGTGGAGCTCTCTGTTGGGCCAGGGCCACGATCCTCGAGAGGGGTGTGCCGAAATGAAGCGTCGGTGGAGCTCCCTGTGGGGCCAAGCCCAAGATCATCGAGAGGGGTGTGCTGAAATGAAGCTTCGGTCCAGCACCCTGTGGGGCCAGGGCCACGGTCCTCGAGATGTGTGCGTGCCGAAATGAAACTTCGATGGAGCTCCCTGTGGGGCCAGGGCCACGATCCTAGAGAGGGGTGTACCGAAATGAAGCTTCGGTGGAGCTCCATGTGGGGCCAGGACCGCGATCCTCGAGAGGGGCATGCCGAAATGAAGTTTCGGTGGAGCTCCCTGTTTGGCCAGGGCCACGATCCTCGAGAGGGGTGCCGAAATGAAGCTTGGGTGGAACTCCCTGTGGTGCCAGGGCCACGATCCTCGAGAGGGGTGTGCCGAAATCGAGCTTCGGTGGAGCTCCATGTAGGGCCAGGGCCACGATCCTCGAGTGATGCGTGCCGAAATGAAGCTTCGGTGGAGCTCCCTGTTGGGCCAGGGAGCTCCCTGTGTGACCAAGGGCACGATCCTCAAGATGGGTGTGCCGAAGTGAAGATTCGGTGGCGTTCCTTGTGGGGCCAGGGCCGAGATCCTCGAGATGGTTTTGCCGAAATGAAGCTTCGGTGTAGCTCCATGTGGGGCCAGGGCCAAGATCCTCGAAAGGTGTGCGCCGAAATTGAACTTCGGTGGGGCTCCCTGTGGGGCCAGGGCCACGATCCTCGAAAGATGTGCGCCGAAAGTAAGCTTCGCTGGGGCTCCCTGTGGGGCCAGAGCCACGATCCTCGAGAGGGGCGTGCCGAAATGAAGCTTCGGTGGAGCTCCTTGTGAGGCCAGGGCCACGATCCTCGAGAGGGGCATGCCGAAATGAAACTTCGGATGAACTCCCTGTGGTGCCAGGGCCACGATCCTCAAGAGGGGTGTGCCGAAATGTTGTTTCGCTGGAGCTCCCTGTGGGGCCAGGGCCACGATCCTCGAGAGGGGTGTGCCGAAATCGGGCTTCGGTGCAGCTTCCTGTGGTGCCAGGGCCACGATCCTCGATAGATGCATGCTAGAATGAAGCTTCGGAGGAGCTCCCTGTGGCGCCAGGGCCACGATCCTCGAGAGAGGTGTGCCGAAATGATACTTCGGTGGAGCTACATGTCGGACCAGGGCCGCGATCCTCGAGAGGGGTGTACCGAAATAAAGCTTCGGTTAAGCTCCCTGTGGGGCGAGGGCCACGATCCTCGAGCGGGGTGTGCCGAAATGAAGCTTCGGTGGAGCTCCCTGTGGGGCCAGGGCCGAGATCCTCAGGAGAGGTGTGCCGAATGAAGCTTGGGACGAGCTCCCTGTGGGGCCAGGGCCAAGATCCTCGAGAGGGTTGTGCCGAAATGAAGCGTCGGTCCAGCTCCCTGTGGGGCCAGGGCCACGATAATCGAGAGGGGTGTGCCGAAATGAAGCTTCGGTGGGGTCCCCTGCGAAGCCAGGGCCGCGATCCTCGAGAGGGGTGTGCCGAAATTAAGCTTCGGTGGAGCGCCCTGTGGGGCCAAAGCAACAATCCAGTGGGGAGGTCCACCGAAATGAAGCTTCGGTGGGCCTCCCTAGGGGATTGTTGCTGGTTGCTGGTTGCTGGGGGGGGGAAGGGGGGGGCCCGGGGCCCCAACCCCCGTTTGTTCCAAGGAACAACCTCGCGTGAGTGCCCCATGGTCCCGAACCTCGTTCCCCGCGTTCTTCCCTAAGGCGGAACCGCGCGTCTGTGCCCCGTTGGCCGGTTCGGACCCAACCAGCAACCAGCAACCTGGGGCTCCGTTCCCTGCTCCGCTGGCGAATTGCTCGCTTAGGGGTGTGGACTCATCCTCCATGCCATTTTGCCGTGTCTGCACCAGCGAAGCTCCGGACGAAGTCCTATCGGATCCTTAGGGGTGGATCCAGCTCCTGTTCAAAACGGGGCTCTCGTCTGAGGGGTGCCTGCTTATGTGCCTCTGGAGGAGGATCCCAGAGGGAGGCGGCTTGTAGGCCGAGGCCCCGAGGTGAAGGTCCACACCAGAACCAAGAGAAGGCCCAAAAGTTCCATGGGGGGGCGCTATACTTGACGCAAACGGCTTCTTTTCAAAACGGGGCTCTCGTCTGAGGGGTGCCTGCTCGGGGGCCTCTGGAGGAGGATCCCCGAGAGAGGCGGCCTGCAGGCCGAGGCCCCGAGGTGGACGTCCACACCAGAACCAGGAGAAGGCCAAGAGGGGGGACCCAATGGGGAGGCGCAGTAGTTGATGCAAGCGGTTCTGTCTGAAAACGGTGCTCTCGTCTGAGGGGTGTCTGCTCAGGGGCCTCTGGAGGAGGATCCCAGAGGGAGACGGCTTGCAGGCCGAGGCCCCGAGGTGGAGGTCCACACTGGCACTAGGAGAAGGCCCAGAGGGGGGACCTATCGGAATGTGTCTGCACCAGCGAAGCTCCGGAATGTACGGAGTCCTATCGGATCCTTAGGGGTGGATCCAGCTCTAATAGAATCCCAGTACTGGTGGATCCAGCTCTAATAAAATCCTACTACTGGTGGATCCAGCTCTACTACTATCCTATTAGTGGGTAGATCCAGCTCTACTACTATCCTATTAGTGGTGGATCCACCTCTACTACAATCCTACTAATGGTGGATCCACCTCTACTACAATCCTATCAATGGTGGATCCACCTCTACTACAATCCTAGTGGTCCTCCCCGCTCTAACAGAACCGTATGGAATCATGTTCGGAGTGGATCCAGCTCTAATAGAAACCTGTTAGTGGTGGGTCCAGCTCTCATGGAGTCCTGTTAGGGGTGGACCCAGCTCGAATAAAATCAGAATAGATATGGATCCAGCTCTACTAGTACCCAGTTAGCGATGGATCCACCTCTAATAAAATCCGATGGGTGATGGATCCACCGATCTGGAGGTCCACACCAGCACCAGGAGAAGGCCCAGAAGGGGGACCTATCCGCCCTAACCACAGATTGCTTCTGTTTAAAAATCAGGTTCTCACCGAATCTCGCCGTGCTTCGGCCGTCTTCAAGCTGTCTGCAGCCGTTGGGCTGTGGGTTTTCTACGAGATGTCGTCGTCGAGAGGGGTGTGCCGAAATGCGGTTTCGGTGGAGCCCCCTGCGAGACCCAAGGCCGCGATCCTCGAGAGGGGTGTACCGAAAAGAAGTTTCGGTGGAGCTCCCTGTTGGGCCAGGGCCAGGATCCTCCAGAGGTGTGTGCCGAAATGAGGCTTCGGTGGAGCTCCCTGTGGGGCCAAGCCCAAGATCATCGCGAGAGGTGTGCTGAAATAAAGTTTCGGTGGAGCTCCCTGTGGGGCCACGGCCACGATCCTCGAGAGGGGTGTGCCGAAATGAAGTTTGGGTGGAACTCCCTGTGGGGCCACGGCCACGACCCTCAAAAGGGGTCTGCCGAAATCAAGTTTCGGTGGAGCTCCCTGTAGGGCAGGGCCACGATCCTCGAGAGGGGTGTGCCGAAATGAAGCCTCGGTGGAGCTCCCTGTGGGGACACGGCTACGATCCTCGAGAGGGGCGTGCCGAAATCAAGCTTCGGTGGAGCTCCCTGTGGCGCCAGGGCCACGATCCTCGAGAGATGTGTGCCGAAATGAAGCTTCGGTGGAGCTCCCTGCGGGGCCAGGGAGCTCCCTGTGTGGCCAAGGGCACGATCCTCAAGATGGGTGTGCCGAAATGAAGATTCGGTTGCGTTCCGTGTGGGGGGCCAGGGCCAAGATCCTCGAGAGGGTTCTGCCGAAATGAAGCTTCGGTGGAGCTCCCTGTGGGGCCAGGGCCACGATCCTCGAAAGGTGTGCGCCGAAATTAAGCCTCGGT